GGGGAAGGGGAAGGGCCGCGCTCTCCCTTAGCCACGGGAACGCAGGGGTTCCTTGACAGAAAATCGATGTTTAAATACTTTAGTTTCTAGGGCATAATTCGGGCCAGATGGGGCTCAGTTTTTTAAACATAAGAAGGTGAAAACTTGGATGTTGTCTCAGAACGTTCATATTCGGACCTTTAATGTATTTAACTTTCTTGGTAAATACAGTAAGTTGAATGTATTTGGAGCATCAACCAGACCTCGAAGGACACCAGAATCTGTTAAGAGTGGGTGCGGGCTTGGTTTCAGAAGATACTTTCCCAACACATCGAGGTGGAAATGATTTCCTGACAAGCTAGTGGGCTGCAATGCATCCTTATTAGGCACCAAATCGGAGTTGTTCAAAATGGAAGGAGTAACATTTTCAGTCACTGAAGTTCTAACGTAGTTGTACTGTTTTTCTTTAGGTTTTCTATCAGATGTTCCACCGTAAGAATGCTGGTAAGTATGGAAGGGGTTAATAAAATACTTGGTTTTGCTGTTTGTTTTTGGGAGGCACAGTTTTTAAAATGTCAAGAACTGGGAAAGAGATTCCACCCTGCCGGCATGCTAGCAACACCTGCCACAGTTTTGTAGAAGCTGCAGGCCCCTAGATCAGAGATGAGTTACAGCAGGAGCGGTAGTCAGAAGAGCAGCAATTTTACCCCAGTCCCCAGAGTCAGAAGTCACCTGCACACGGAGTTAGGCTAAGGAACCCTAATCTTTATTACAACGAACAATAAGCATCTCAAGGCTACATGTCTTATTTACGCAGTCCTCAATTCTTGGATGTCTATGTAGTTTCTAGTTTCCATTAGTTACAAGCACATAGGTTATTGTTAGACTATGGAAACATTGCAGATATACAAAATATATATACTGCTCCAGCTGTGGGAGAGAATAGTTAATAACTATTTGGGGAATTTTAACAAATTGGTTTCAAAATAGATTCACATTCTTAAAATTGGATGTTTGTGCATATCCTTAATTTTTGAGACTTTTATTTCAAGTATGCCAAATCTTTGAATGTTTATTGACAACAGAATGTAGTATTGGTCTGTTATTTAACAAACAAAAAGAAAAAGTGGAATTTGTAATTCTCAACGTAATCAGTGTAACACTTGTGATTTGTATCCACCAGGTAAAAACTTATATTTACATAACATTCCGTTTTGCATTTAAGGTTTGTGTTTAATCAAGATTTTGTTTTTCTGTTGCCAGTAGGTGCTTTTCTGATGTAAGAAAAAATAGCATCATAAGAAAACAAATTTTAAAATATCTTAAATAAACTTTTATTAATTTTAGGAGTTAAGAAGTCTCTGTTCCTTTGCTCCAAACCAGAAGACTTCGTTGCCTGCATATAGAGTAGGAGTAATGTTGGTTAGAAACGGGCTGGTGTTGAAAACGGAAGGTTGTCATGACTATTTAACTCTATGCTGAAGTGCGATTAATTGTCTTGGAAATACTTAGTTGGGTAAGTATTTTTAATAAAGGTTTATGTTGAGTGGTAAAAAAAAAAATGAATATAAAAATATATGAAATTAAGAAAAGTTCACTTTTAGATAGAAATTAATAGCAGTGGCACTATATTAACTTCAGGCTTATGACATATCTTAGTATTTTTAGGTCAGTAGTTCAGGAATTTTAGTAACTTGTAGCTATTAAATCTAGGCTTGAGGAAATTTTTAACCAACAATGAGTTATACTTGAAAAAAATTTTAATTAAATTCAGAATGCTTAAAAATCATATTTAATTTAAAATATGCCTAGGTACAGTCCTAATGTAATTGTCAACTATGCTTTATTGCTATTTATTACATTGTTTCTAAGTGCATCATTGTTTTTAAGTGCATAATTCACTTTCCCATGTGAATTATGCACTTAAATCTCTGGGAGCCAGTCAATTTTTAATAAAGGTTTATGTTGAGTGGTAAAAAAAAAAAATGAATATAAAAATATATGAAATTAAGAAAAGTTCACTTTTAGATAGAAATTAATAGCAGTGGCACTATATTAACTTCAGGCTTATGACATATCTTAGTATTTTTAGGTCAGTAGTTCAGGAATTTTAGTAACTTGTAGCTATTAAATCTAGGCTTGAGGAAATTTTTAACCAACAATGAGTTATACTTGAAAAAAATTTTAATTAAATTCAGAATGCTTAAAAATCATATTTAATTTAAAATATGCCTAGGTACAGTCCTAATGTAATTGTCAACTATGCTTTATTGCTATTTATTACATTGTTTCTAAGTGCATCATTGTTTTTAAGTGCATAATTCACTTTCCCATGTGAATTATGCACTTAAATCTCTGGGAGCCAGTCAGAGGCAGCTGGGTTAGGCATTTGGAGATTCAAGGATACAGAGTCTCAGGATATTACAGGGTGGGGCAAAAGTAGGTCTACACAGTGTTTATTCTTGTAGTAGTATTGATTAATTATTGTATTATTTTTCATACAAACAACTGTAAACCTACTTTTGCCTTACCCTGTATATATCTAAATTCACACAACAGGAGATACCATCTAGATTAATTATTCTCCAGATTTTCTAAATTGAGAGACATTGAATACTTACTCTTATATGGGTAATGACCTCTACTCTGTTTCACCTGCTGGCTATCTATTTTTTTTAAATATATATTTTTATTGATTTCAGAGAGAAAGTGGGAGAGAGAGAGAGAGAGAGAGAAGCATCAGTGATGAGAAAGAATCATTGATCGGCTGCTTCCTGCACTCCTGCACACCCCCCTACTGGGGATCGAGCCCACAACCTGGGCATGTGCCCAGACCAAGAATCAAACTGGGACCTCCTGGTTCATAGGTCAATGCTCAACCACTGAGCCACACTGGCCGGGGCTAACTATTGTAATAAACCAGAGAATACATGTGATTAAATGCCATGTTTTCCTTTTTTTTTTTTTAATTTAAATTAAATTTATCGTGGTAACATTGGTTAATAACATGTTTTCCATTTTTATTTATCTCTTTTATTTGTGGGGTTCTTCACTTTTCTTTGTAGAATTTCTTGCTAAAACCTCAGAATGGTTATGAAGTAGATCACAGAGGTAGTATTATAGGTAGTGTGTACTTTAATGAATGTTTTCATGTAATTAAACCTCTTTTTGTTAAAATGACGTTAGTATTTTATTTTTAAACTGATCAATAATCTTTAAATACTGTATTCTATTTCTTAGACACTAGTGTGGTTCTTAAAAGCATGAACTTTGAAGTCAAGCAGACCTGAGTCAAAATTCCAGCTCTGCCATTTAACTAATACTTAACCAACCTATCTAATACTTAAGCACTAGTTTACATATCTTTAAGGTGAGGATAATTACTACTTAATAAGATTATGATAGTTAAATGAGATAATTATAAAGTTCTTAGTTAAGTGTCTGGTGATCTCTCTAAAAATATTACTCTTTTTAAAATGTTCTATATATACTAATTATAGTTTTTATTTGGGTAATCTGTATAATTATTTTTACATGATAATTTTCATTCATACCATCTGTTAACCAATTTATTCTTTTCTCTTGAGATGTATAATTGACCTATATTATCTTTTAAAGTAAAAGATTGAAGTAATTGTCATATTGTAAGTAATGTGATTACTCAAGTATGTCCAGATTATTTGGCACTCTGGTCAGGGCATATACCTAGGTCAGGGGTGGGCATATACCTTTTTGTGAGTGCGTGCCAAAACCAGCAAAATCTCTGACTCAAAATTCTTCTGCGTGCCAACCCTAATTTTTTGAGAACATGTTACACCTACTTGATATCTCTTAAGGTGTACGTATGTGAAGAACCTTGAGAAATAATAAAATTCATTCGAGCGACAAAAACACAGTATATGATGATGAAAAATACATTTATTTTTTAATGTATACATGTACACTGATAGTCCGACAGAAAACTTTATGACTCCGTTTGATATTATCAGTGGGACTTTTGCTGCTGCATCACTGATGACAGAGATTTTACATCAGGTTTATATTTCGTGACCTTCAGAGATATGCACGAGCTACTACTTTCATCCGTCAGGCTACTCCTATTACGAGACTTAACAAAATTCATCACTGAGAACAAAGATTCACAAGCGTATGTAGATGAAACTTATATTTCGTGACCTTCAGAGATATGCACGAGCTACTACTTTCATCCGTCAGGCTACTCCTATTATGAGACTTAACAAAATTCATCACTGAGAACAAAGATTCACAAGCGTATGTGGATGAAACCAAAACACTGGTCGGATCTAGGAAGGCAGGGAGAGTTAAGGCAGAGGCATAGAAATTGCTCTTCCCCTCTCTCGTCAATCCATGTCTATGGTCTTTAAGATAACTTGTTATGTAAAATTATTTATTTATCTAAGATGCACCTACACTGAATTTATCTGAAAAATAAAAAAGTCGATATTAAGAAAAAAATTGTAAATGGAAGATTATAAGAGAGGGTTTCACGTGCCAGCAAAAGTTACTGGCGTGCCATGTTTGGCACACATACCAGGGGTTGCCCACCCCTGACCTAGGTTGTGGGTTCAATCCCTGGTCGGAGCGCATGCAGGAGGCAACCAATTGATGTTTCTCTCTCACATTGATGTTTTGCTCTCTCTCCCTGGCTTTCTCTGTCCCCTCCCCCTTTCCCTTCTCTCTGAAATAAATAAGTAAATAAATAAATGTAAAAGTTGTTAACAAAAGTTACTACTAGTCCAGAAGAACTAAACTAACCTCCACTTCAAGTAATTTGTTTAGAATTTCAAGTACAGCATCCTGTAACCATTTAGTTTTAACATTGGCATTGATATTAGAAATTGATCTCAATCTAAACACTTTTTCTTTGAGTTCGCTATTAATCATCATTACACAGGCCAACATACAATAACCACCTTGAGGTTTTTAATGTGATTGCTAATGTTTGTTGCAGAATACTTCATCGAATAGGACAAATAGCCTATTGGCCCTCGGAAATCCAATCTCCTTATATCAAGCTGAAGTGAGTGAAAGTAGACTGTGCATTGAAAATGCTACAAGATTATAGGCCAGCCCTGGCTGGTTTTGCTCAGTGGATAGAGCAGCCTGCGGACTAAATGGTCCTGGGTTCGATTCTGGTCAAGGGCACATGCCTGGGTTTCGGGTTCAGTCCCCAGTCAGGGGTGTGCAGGAGGCAGCCAATCAATGACTCTCTCTCATCATTGATGTTTCTATTTCTCCCTCTTCTTCCTCTCTGAACTCAATAAAAAAATATTATATAAAAAAAAGATTATAGGCCAGACAACTTCAATGAAAGCAGCGTGCTTTTATCATTTCCCAACATTACAAGAGAACTCGCCACCAACTAGAAGCTATTAATCAGAAATAAGAGCTATTATTAAGCAAATTTCCTACCAATTAGTGATGTGAATCCTCTTCTCCTTTCCTGCTGGTTTGCTCACTATGCAACCCTTTATCTTTCTCTCTCATCTCTACCCATTACGAACTCAATGATCTTGCTCTCTCTCTTTCCTGTATGGTAGAAATGTTTCTGTGCTGTGCAATTTAATACTTAATGATATACTGTTTTGTGCTAGTCTCTAATTGTTTTAGATGTGCTATATATTCTCAACTAGATTGTAGACCCTGAGGCTAGGACCATGTGTCATATTTCTTTGTTAATGCTTTTTTTTTAAGAGAAACATCAATGTGAGAGAAACGTAGATTGGCTGCCTCCTGCAGGTCCCCTACAAGGGATTGAGCCAGCAACCCAAGCATATGCCCTAATCGGGAATTGAACCAGCAACCTTTTGGTGCAGGGGACAATGCCCAACCAACCAAGCCACACCAGCCAGGATTGTTAATGCTTTTTACGTTAAACACGATAGGCACTAAGTAATGTCTTATTGGAAAATCTAAAAATACCCATTTGTTCTGTACAACTGTGACCAGAGCTCAAAGCAAAAACACTTCATGTCCATGTGGGGTACAATGTACTGTCACTTTAAACACTTTTTTAAAAAAGTATTTAAAGTTTGCAAGATTTAATGTTATGTTAAGTTTGGTCTGAATTTTGGTTAGTACACAGAGACCTGTTGTCTAATATGAAGATTATTGTAAACTAGGGCCCGGTGCATGAAATTCATGCACAGGTAGGGTCCCTAGGCCTGGCCAGCGATCAGGGCCAATCCAGGCCTTCAGGCTGCCGGACGGGGCCTTCCTTTCCCAGCTGCCGGCCCTGGGGCCCTCCTTCATTCTGTGCTGCCCCCCTGGTGGTCAGCATGCATCATAGCCAGCGATCGAACTCTCGGTCAAACTCCTGAGGTGACAGTTTGCATATTAGCCTTTTATATATAGAGATATTTTAAACTAATAAGTTTGGCTGTAATGATAAAAATGAGTAATTAGCATACATTTTTCTGTATTATTTAAACATTTCTAAATAAGACTGTAAGAGAATAATTGTTTCATTACTTCTCTCAATAGCTTAATTCTAAATGCTCAAGGAATAATCCCCACAGGATCACAATAATACCGTGGATATCCTTTTTAGATATTCTATTTTCCATTCACTTAAAATACTCAAATATGAACTTTGCTTCTCAGGCAAATATGCTTAAATGGTGGTCCAAAAATGCTTAGTTATTTTAATTTGTTTATGTTCACCCTATGTTTTAACAGATTCACCCTATGTTTAACACTCAGTAATGTTTGTTAAGTAATAGCTATATATGTAAAACAGAGTATTTAGGGAATAATATTTCTTCTTTTTCAGGGTAACCTAAATTTGTTTTGGAACCATGAAAATTTTGCTGGTTTTTGACTTTGACAATACAATCATAGATGACAATAGTGACACCTGGATTGTACAATGTGCCCCAGAGAAAAAGCTTCCTAATGAACTACAGGATTCTTACAAAAAAGGATTTTGGACAGAATTTATGGGCAGAGTCTTTAAGTATTTGGGAGAGGAAGGGGTAAGAGAAGATGAAATGAAAAGAACAATGACATCAATGCCTTTCACTCCAGGGATGGTGGAACTTTTAAACTTTATAAGAAAGAACAAGGACAAATTTGATTGCATCATTATTTCAGATTCAAATTCTGTCTTCATTGATTGGGTTTTAGAAGCTACCAATTTTCATGATGTGTTTGATAAAGTGTTTACAAATCCAGCAGCTTTTGATGGCAGTGGTCATCTCACTGTGGAAAATTATCACGCTCATTCTTGCAATAGGTGCCCCAAAAACCTTTGCAAAAATGTAGTTTTGGTAGAATTTGTAGATAAACAGTTACAACAAGGAGTGAATTATACACAGATTGTTTATATAGGTGATGGTGGGAATGATCTTTGCCCAATAACCTTTTTAAAGAAAAATGATGTTGCCATGCCACGGAAAGGATATACTTTACAGAAAACTCTTTCCAGAATGTCTCAAAATCTTGAGCCTATGGAATCTTGTGTTGTAGTTTGGTCTTCGGGTGTTGAAATAATTTCTCATTTGCAAGTTCTAATAAAGGAGTAATATGCCAACAATTGAAATGTGTACCAGTTAAGATTGGGTACAGCAGCATAAAACTAAAATCCCAAATGCCAGTGGTTTAAAAATATATATATTTTTTTTTCTCTCACTTAAAAGAATTCCAGAGGTAAGTATCGCTCAAGGCTGCTATTTTGCTCTACCAACTTCAGCACTTGGCTACCAACTCATGATACAAGATTGTTATTCAAGCTCCAACCCTCAAATCAATATTTTATGGCCAGCAAGAAGGAAGGCAATGAATTGCACACTCATTTAAATTGCATTGGCCAAAACTCAGTCACAATGCCCCCACCTAATTGCAAGGAAGGATGAAAAATACAGCTTTTATTCCAGATGGCCGTTTGCCTGGAAAACATTGGAAAAAAGAGGAGTATAGAATTAAGGTAAGTGCAACTAGTGGTCACTACCAAAGGTGGTTGATAGATTATTCTCTGCAGAGAGAATAGTCATATATTTTACTTTCTTAGATATTTATTTCAAAAGCATGTCCAATAGTTGTAGATCTTAAAAATAAACCTGATGCTTTATCCACATAGCCCAAATCTACACTAATAAAAGAGAAACATGGTAATTAGCGTACGACCGCTACCCTTTTCATTGGCTAATCAGTGAGTATATGCAAATTAACTGTCAGCCAAGATGGCGGCCAGCAGCCAGGCACTGAAGTGAGCACGGAGGCTTGCTTGCTGCAGACTCCAAC